TATTTTTTACTTGAAATTTAAAATAAACATATTATCCCATTACATTCCCACATTTATGGTACTGAAATACTCTGAGCATAATCCTACAGTTCCTGTAAGTTAATGGAATCTATAGAACAGCACAACACAAATCAAATTCCATTGAAAAGACAATATTTATGCAGTTGACCATAATTTTAAATGTTAGATGCAAGTGCATCATCCTAGATGTTACAGTGAAATTCCTTCCCATTCACAAGACCAGATGCCCTATAGATTGTAAACAGCAATGAAGTGCCTGACTGTTGTGCACTTGTATGAACACACTAAAAGTTCATAACTCAGGGAAGTTATAACAATTTGAAGTGCTGAGGGCTAGAAATCTCAATAAATAAAACAAATTCACACTTTTTTAAAAAAAAATCAGAAGGTTCTGGCTCAAAAGTTTAAGCAAAGAGTGATAATGAGTAATTTCTCATAATTTCAAACCAACTCTGATCCCAAAGGAAAAAGATTGACTCAAAGTTGCATGTCTCTGAGATTGTTTATTGTTTCTCAAAAAACTTAACTGGATTACAAGTTGGTTAAAAGTTGTTGTCACTGCTGATGTTAACTTAGAAGCAATCAGACAAAGTTCAGAAGAGAACACAAAAATAAATAAAGACATAAATAAAAGCAAGTGAGCAAGCTCCCACAAGTATTCAGCTGTCCCAGATGCCCGGGAAATACCCCTTCCTTAAATACACACAAGGCAAGACAGGGACATTAGATGGCAAAATGATTTGAGAGTACCTTAGCTATGTTGTTTAGAATTGTGATTGAATTTAATAAATCACATTAATTTTTTCATCAGTCCTAAAATACAGAAATTCCCCAATCAGAAATAATTTGGGTTGTGGGTTTTTTTCCTCAAGATAGATGATGTCATTATTCTACTACTCTGACATTCTACAGCTACTTATACCACTGCAATGGGGATGTAAAAGTACTGTTATTCTGATTAGACAGTGTTTTACACTCCACTTTTCAGGACATGAAAGACTGTAAAGCTTTTTTTCTTTTTCCATTATCAGGCAGTTGAACAGAAACATTACTGACTGACCTTTATATTAATGAGGCTAAATAAAAACACAGATGGCTTTTACTAAGTGAAGGAAGTGAAAGTAATGGTATGCTATCTTAAGCCACTATCCTGCAAAATCAGGGACCAGGATGAACAGAAATCTGATTATTCTAGCTGAGTAAGAAAGCTCAAATAAACATATCCTCTCTGTCTGAATCCTTGTCTACACTAAAAAATTGACTCATTTTAAAGAATGGTTGTCAAGAATAAGTCCCCTTGAAGTAATATTTGAGTTTTTCTACACAAAACAGTGATTCAACACCATTTTGGAAAATCTTCTTGAGACATAACTTTTTAGGAAAAATGAGGGTAACGGATTGAGTCCAAGCACCCAGAGATGCGAAATGCAATTTCAGGTGTAAGCCTTTCAATGGCCTAAAGAATGACAAAGCAAGAGCCAGAAAGAATTATCATGTGACTTGTCTCACGTGTCTTTCCCTAGCCAATCATATTTGCATTCAAAATGAACCAGAGCAACTTGAAAATCTTGTAGTCTGATATGTTTTTTGTTCTATACATGAGATTTGCAAAAACACAACAAAATGTTTGCATACATTTATGAAGGTTTCATAGGTTCAGATAGTTCCATTTAGAAATGATCACAGTTAATCAGCATTTATCAATAAAAAATAAAATAGTACATAAAAAGTAAGTATGTTTTGTTTTGCTTATGAACTCTCATGTATACAAAATGATTGCAAATTTACTTTACATCCAAATTGTATTTGGTTATTACTGGTATTTAGCTGTAATAATATAAACGAAAAAGTCAACTTTTTCCCTTAACCCAGAGTTTTGACATTTAAAATAGTCAATGTTTATACCATACATACAGCTTCATTCAACCACATCTTGCTTAATGCTATAATTTATAATATCACAAAAATGAAAGCCTAAATTATCCTCTTAATAAGGAAAAGTTTTGCATAATTTTCAGTAGTTTTACCACTTCCTGAGCGTGTTTGTGTTGGTTTTGTGTGTAGTTCTGGATTTGTCATTAAAGTTGTTTCTTCTGCTAGATGTCACCTTTTAGAGTGCTGAAAGGTGCTCTGAAAAATAATCTATTTAAATGGAACAGAATTTATGGCAAGAGAATTATGTTTGTTTCAAGATGCCTGAAACCCCAGCCCGTTGAGAGACTGTTGAAACTCCACTGGACTTTTGCATCGGTGGATGCAGTTCCAACCATTTCAATACCAAGGAGTCAAAGAAATTACTAAACAGAAATGTTCTAGTAATTGCAAAATATTAGTCTATTCCTTGGGATTGTTCTATATAATTTCTTTTTTTTTAGGACTTAGTCCAAGCTAGTTTTAAAATGCCTCAGGTGACAGGGCTCCTTCCATTTGCACAGACTAATAGATCTTCATTGGAACATTTTTCCTGATACCCTAATTGATCCTTTTTTCAACTTCATCCAGTTAGCTGGGTTTGTACACCCTGGAGACAGAGTAAATAATTTCTTGCCCTGCTTCTCTAGGTACCATTCAAATAACAACAAATGGTTGCAGCTTCCATTCAGTCAAATTTACTTACTTAATTTTTAAAAATCTTGCTACATGTTCAACATCACATTTCTTGTCTTTATCAAAAAACCAGAGCCTCCATTAAGATACTGAATGCAAAAGTGGCAGCTGAAGAACATTTCAGGGGTGGGTGGGGACCACACAGGTGGGGAATATCAAAGATTGCTGGTACTAAAGAAATGGCTCTGTTGTGCTTGTCATTAGGATGGAGGAAGCCTCTTATGCAAGCTGCAGTGAGGCAGAGTGTGTGGCTTGTGCCCAGTGAGATGGATGTGATAAACTGCATCTCCCCTGAGTGTTCAGCTGCTCTAGACACCAATAGTTTCCAAATGAGCCTTTGCTTTGGATCATTTTCTTGATGCTCTTTAAGAGACGTTAGCTGAAAATTTTCTTCTGCTCTCTCTGTTGTTCGTAATTTAATTTGATAAGTTGTCACTGCCCAAGATGGATCTAGATGGTTTAGGCGATAATTTCTGGAGGCAATTCCTCTCTATGCTGCTCTTTTATACACTCTTGAAAGCCATCACTCTTTTTGATGAGTTGACAGTGACCCCTCCCACTGCACGCATTTGGACAACGGATCTCAAAATGTCAAGCCTTATCCATGCCTACATAATGAAGGACTGGTCAAGTAATCATGCGGAATGAGAACTGCTTCCTGTTACTGGGGATCAAGGAGGCAGCAGTGCTGGTTTGCACTTGTCAGATTAATCATATTCTTATTTTGTCCCATATTCCTAGAAAACCTCTATCATTTGCAGAGCTTCCAATTGAAATCTATGGAGGCAAGGAAAAAAAAAAAAGAAAAAAAAAAGAAAAAGAAAAGATATAGCTATTCCATCTGACGTCTGGAATAATTTATGCTGCTATAGCAATTTACCAGCATTGATCTCTGTGTAGAAATCCACCTTACATCAGTAGAAAAAGAATGAGGATAAAACATGGTCCATGAAACTGTTTTTCACTTGAGAGTTTTTTAGACAGAATAAGCTGCAGATTGTGCTATGAGCATCTTTTCAACCATAATACATAACCCTTTGAAACAAGAAGGACATGAAATCTGAAGCAAAGAACTTTTGGTGGAGGTGGGGAGGAAAATGGCAAAAGCCCACAGAGTAAATGAGAGACACAAATTTAACTCACTTTTCAGAGACAAGTACGTGTGGATATAGTAAAATTTCATCCATTGTCTTTGCATTTACAATAGATACTTATACCTGGCTATCAGGTTATTTGCTACAGAAATACTGTGTTCTGTTGCTGTTTGAACCTCCCAAATATGTTTACCCTCTGGAAGACAGTATCTTTGACTTAAAAGAAAATTGAACTATGCTGGGTAATTTTGTAACTATTTTCCTTGCATTAGGGAAAGAAAACCGCATAGAGGAACATTCAAGTAGTCCTGCTATCTTCTATGATGCTACTGGAATAATTCAGCAAGCAGAATTTGGGGCCTGTTAATTTTAGCAGATATTCTAAAGCATATTGTTCCACCTAATACAACAATTTAGCTGAAACAATAGTAACATAATTGACAAAATTACATAATAATTACAGTGCTTTAGAGTGAGCTATATTAAGGTATGACTCATCACTCAATACATAAGAAGGTACAGAACTACGTCAAATCCAGCAGTGCAGTGCAGTATAGTGTAGCTGCAGCCAAAAATGAAATTTAAAATCAGCAATCTTTTGTTAATAAGTGGGGGGAGGAGGGGAATTAATGGAAAGTATGACTATGAATTTTGTTTTACTTTAATGAATTAAATTTAAAAATTGACAAGGAATAATTGTACAATTACAATTAAGATTTACATCTTTTTCAGAAAAATGTTTAATACATTTTACTATTTGAACCTCACACTTCCTCTGGCAATACTTGTAATAGTTTGCTTTATTGAAAAGGGAGAACTATTCCACTCCTCAGCTGGGGAAATGATTGGTGAAGTGGAAAAGCAATGATGGAATTTTCTGAGATAATTACATTTTTTTGTTAGAATACTTAATCAATGATCATTTTGAAAGAAAAGCTGCACAGTGTAACAATCAAGCATAAAACACATAACTTCCCAAGAAACATTTTGAATTATTTTCTATAATAGAATTCAGTTGAAAACAATTCTTTTAAAAACTGCAGAAGTTGAATATATGCATCTTGGACAAAACTATATTGAAAGTTTCTTCCTTGAATAAGCCTTACTTGTTATGCAAAAGATATATATACCTTCTATCATTTTCCGATCTGTTAATACTTTCCTTGATAATAAACATAGTCCCAATTAAAGACATTATTCAACAGCACAATTATACATCATTAGAAAAGTTACTATGCTAAGCTTTTTCTATCAAAAAGTGGGATGGTTTGTACTCACCAGGTGTAAAATTATACCGAGCAGAAAACCCAATAGATTCCAGCTCACCATCAGCAAAAAATTTAATCCATAGGAATCTGCCACTGGATTTTATCATAGGTGGATTTTGCTGTCCACAGAAACGTCCAATGATTGGGGAAAAGCCAAAAGGTCCATCTCGTACTTCAATATGGTCAAATTTACACTCCCAAGAAGGCTCTATGGAATATTTTTCATCAAAGTGTAGTTCAATGCATTGTCTAGGGGCAGCTAGAGATGAAAAGAAAATTATCTTATTATTTTCTAAACCAAGACCCTTCAAAACTAAAACAAAATTAAAGAAAATCAATTATATCAATTTTGTATGCATCTTAGCATTTTGCTTAAAAACTTGTCTGAAAATTAGTACATCTATGTTTTTATAGAATTTATACCATCAGCTTACTTGTCTATTCTTTACCTCTAAAAAAGTGCTCATGACAGCAGTTCTTAACAGAACTAAGAGAGATATCTGTGATGTAAAAGAAAATACAGTTTAGGAACAATTGGTTCAAACACAAAATCTTTCTAAGAAACTTATGCAGTGGAAAACCAATGTTTTCTTATATTTGGGGAGGGAAATGTTAATCAGAACACCTTTTTACGTAATGCTGACAAAGATGAAGGAAAAACTGATCAGAACTGTGCTATAGTAAGAAGGAAGAATTCTGCTCCTATATGTATTGCAGTCAATGACAAGCTTGAGTGTAATTGCTTATACTCAGAATTACTTATTCTCATTTGAAACATAAGGACAAGTGTAGTGAATTCTCACTTAAGAAACTAGATAACAATGAAGCAAAACTAACATCTAACTAAAGAGCAAACAATATTCTACTGAAAACCTTCAAGAAACTTTATAGTGGTCACTTAATTAGACATAAAACCCATCTTTATTCATAAATACTAAGGCTAGTGGCAGTCAGAATGATCTCTAAAAGAAATGTTCCCTGGCATCTCCTGAATGAAGCAGAATAGTTACTGGTTGAACTACAGTATTTTCTTAAAAGGAGAAAAAAAAATCATGGTTCTGTCTACAAATTTTAACAGATGCAGCATCCCTGGGGTGTGCTGTTCCTATGCTTAATCCTGTCCATAGCAAAAAATGTATGCCTTCAGCATCTAGATCATGGTGCGATATAGCCTTTTGCAGACAAAGCCTTCTGCTAAGACAAGGGTTTGTTGTGTCACTGCCTGCTGTGCCTCTCATGGGATCATGTCCTACACTTCACACATATTAGAAGAGGTTGAAATTGCTCTGAGCTTTGCCAGAGTTACCATTCTTTTCACATGAAGACATGCAAGATCAAACTCCAAGGTAAGCGCATAAGCTTGACATGGAAACTGCTGCCACCGCAGCAGTCAGTATCCTTCCATTTCTTTCCTCAGGAATAACAGGAAAACTACCAGTGTGACCAGAACCTAGATCTTGTATGTATTTCAAAATGTTTTAAATTGAAGCTTTTGGGACGAGCTCATTACTCACATAACAAGGGAGACTATTTAAAATGAACTAAATAAGATGACAGTAGGTAAATCTTATAATTATTACATAAGAGCATACAGTCAGAACCCATTTACAACTATTTCCTGTAAGTAAATACAGCCTCATTTTATAAGACGCATTGAAGAAGTTAATAAAACACGTTATTTGAGAAGAAAGATTATTTTAATAGCTTTACTTTCAAAGTTAATGTAATTGGGTGATTGGTATTTACTGAAATATTTAATTTAACATAAGAAAGAAACCTTATCTACTGTTCTCAATTTGAAGAAATTCACATTTAGGGAAGTATTTACTATTGGCTTGTTGTTATTTATACCAACTCACAGGAAATTTGTGATCTTTGTCCCCATACAAATTCAATAGCAAAATCAAAACCTAAAACTTTACATATAATTGCACCAAATTCACAGATTATGGAAATGAAATTACTTGGAAAGTATGAAAAAAACCTTATAAAATTAAAATCAGATAATAAAGCTTGTGAAGAAGTTCTTATTAACACTACCTTTGGTGAGGTTTGAAGACCAAAGTAGATCTTTTAGATTATAGTAAAAGAGTGAATAACCGGAAGACATCATTGATTAATTTTATTCAGATGTTTCTACACTTGACTTCACATATTTATAACAAATATTGACTTAAACGTAACTAAGCATTACTAGTGCAGAAGAGAATAATCAGCACCTTTCAATCTGGGATCATATTTTGTATGCTGTTATTCTATTTAAGGAGATTTGTTGAGAACTACTCTTCATTCACCTAGGGACTGCAGAGTCAGGTGTCAGAAACTCCATCCTGACAATGCTTTAGGTAATCTTAAGAATGCTCATCAAGGCTTGAAAATCTTACATACTCACTATTCAATTATTATGCTATTAACCTACCTAAAGCTTTATTGTAATGTTTTAATGTTGCAAACTAGATATGAAGATGAATTCTGCTAGGAGCGTTAGTGTCAGACAGCATCATACCACAGTGTACAGCTGCTCTGCTTTCCACGTCAACAGAGATACCTGCTTCAAAAATGGCTTACGCCGTTAATGTAATATATTTGTCCTTCATAAACTTCCTGTGTTAGGCCTTCACTACTCTATTTCATACCAAAATGAGGCTTATAAGTGCTGGCCTATAGTTAAACCCTTAACAGGTCTTCTCTGAATCCAAGACTCATGTGGCAGATGATAAAAATGGGCATGAGGCCCCCTTTGAGTTGTAGCTCAGTCATTTGATATGGTTTTTTGGTGTTAAAAAGGAGCCCTAAAGTCAATTATAGCTTCATGGTACTATAAAAGGAGTCTTTGTCGGTAAAAGGGAATCAGGCCTACAGAGTTACGCATGAGATCTATTGACTCGGTGAAAGCATGGCCTGAGAAAAAACTGCACAATTTCCACACCCTCCATGTGGCTCTCTGAATCTCACATTGCAAACTAGTTTTACAATCAGAATATTGCTATAGTTTTCTCTGCTTTTATTTATTTTTCAACAAAGTCAAGACGAGGCTTTTCCTAGTGAAGCTCAGTTCTTGCTAGAGGATTGGAGAGAATCACAGCAGCTCAAGGAGTGCTCAAGAAAGAGTTTCTACTTTGCCCCAAAGCTCCCATGTGTAGAGGCTGCTCCACTTTGGAGCATCGACTATTCATTAGCAGCCTTTCTCCACTGCTAAATAAAACAACGCCGGGGAATGAGTCTGGGGGCTGAACCACTGACCATTTACACTCCTTAAATGTTAAAATCACCTGCTGGCATCATGTTGGCCATGCCAGGCAGAACTGACAAAACCAGTTCTTAGGCACGATGTGGTGGTTCGCATCAGTCAAGGACCATTCACCGCAAACAGTTTGTATCCCTTCTCTTGACTGGGGAGGTGAAAGGAGTTAATCCGCACGTGTGTGATAGTGCCTTAAGGCCAGCGAACATCTGACCTGTTTTAGGTATTAGTATAGGTACTGCCCTTGTCCTAGCCTGCTCTGCAAGCTAGTCCAAACAGGATGAGGTCCTTTCTCCTAACTCTCCCGAGGAATGCAACACTTGGTGTTTCTGTGACCGTGAGAACTGTGGTAATCACAAAAGGTTGGGCAAAGGGAGGAAGGGCTGCTATACACACATCCATGCACCTTTTCATCATGTGCTTTTAAACGCACCTCTGTGCTTCATCTTGTACAATATTTTGAGTTAAATGTTAAATGCTTTGTTTGCAATGATCTACCTAAGAAACAAAATTATTCAAATCTTCCTGGAAATGACCGTAAGGGATGAAAACACACAATTCAAATTCCCAACTTTGACTTACTTTCAGTGAAAAAGGTATCATTTCAGACTTACACTCTGGCTTTAGCAAAGGGTTTCTTTGCCAAATGCAAGCTAAAACAAGCAGGTATTGTATAATTACGCATCTTGTGCCACAGCTTTTGCAACAAAGCGTGTGCAAATGTGGTCACAGTAAAACCTACAGAAACACAGTAAGAACAAGTCCAGAATAATGACTAATAATAAGGTATGTATAGCTACAGAAAACCAAACCAAACCAACCAAACAAAAAGCCCAGAATATGCAATTCTTCCAGACTGGATTGGAATCTGGCCGTCTAATCAGAAAAGAAAAGATGGAGCGGTCATTTCTCTTATTCACAGGTAAAGCCCATTACACATCTTCAGAACAACTTCTGCAGCTACGATGTCAGGAAAAGTTGTTGTCAAGTCCAAATTAAATATACCAAAGCTGTCTCATAAAATGATTTTACTTCAAATCTCAGAAATCTTCCATATTTAGCTTCCAATTTTGTTTCTTCAAAAATGTTTAATACCATGGAAAGACTACTTAATGCTTGCATGTCTTGTCATATTTTTCATCTAATTATCTTACACCAGTGCTGTCTTGAGATTTTAGATTGAATGAAAAAAAAGGCATTGGGTTCCAACTTGCAGTAGAACAGTTGCAGCAAAACCACACAGTTAAGGTTTTAATTCTGATCAGCCTCTAAGTCTGTGTAGCTGACAGCTGAAGTTAAGCGAAAAATCTGTTTCAATTTACCAGACTGCATGGAAATGAGACATTGAACTCAACACCTACCCCCATCTATCTGAGCTGCTACTGTACTAATAGTTTTCTATAATCCTTGGTCTTTCTGGTTGTCCAGCTATTATCAATAAGAAAGCCACCTATATCCTCCTTTTAAAAGAAGATTCTTTCCTTGTTTTGATGAAAACATTTTGAACACAAAAATCACTGCGAAATACAAAAGGCCTTTGAGCAGAGGTTTTTTGTACAGTGATACGTGACCATTTTCTAACACCTGTGAAATATCTAGGCTTAAAGAGTTTAATGGTCTTTAGTGAAATCGTGGAGGACCTTCACGAAAGCTAACTCTAAATGTCCACAAACATACAAAGTGGAAGATTTATTTCATATCTCCGTAAAGCAATTCTAGTCCATACTTACATTTATAAATAAGCATTTAGTTATTAAAAACTGAAGAATGGATAAAATCTTACATGTATTTCACTTCCAGGATTTCTAAATGTTTTCTTAAGATATATTATGTAAAGTATGACTATCCCACTCCCTAAATATTTTTAACACAAACAAAAGCCTTTGCTCCTACAAAATCTCCTGTGCAAATTTCCCTTTGGAGCACACATGCCAAATTTTCTGCAGTCTGGCAAAGGCTAATGCTGCCACTGCTGCGTTTTTTCCAGGCAGCTTTGAATTTTGCCAGGTTAGAGTCATGAATATGCAAAACAAGGGTGAAATTGAGCCCAACAGGGAATTTAATGTGTACACTCAGCTATTTCCTACGTTTTTTATATGCCCAATAAGACTGAAAGAAAAAAAAAAGAACAAATTCTCAATGCATTTTGAAAGGCAGATGGGATTCACCAGAAGCTCCTCTACAGCATAATAATTTTTGTACCGAGTCCATGACTTCTGGATGACCTAAAGGATTTCTTTTAGAAAGGCATCCAATCTGAACTTTAAAATTTCTAGTTGTTCCAATAGTTAATTATCATTACTACTAAAATAGAAGAAAAGAAAAAAAAAAGGAAGAGAAAAGGAAACTTCTAGCTGTTTGATCTGCTTACGCCTTTGACTGCTAGGATAGAAGCTTCTGCAGTCAGAAATCCTCTTCTCTTTTAGAAACTCACAGTCTATGATCATGGCAATTTTTGCCAGCTCCTTTACTTCACCAAAGTAATTTTGAAATGATAAAAGGCTTGCATACATTTAAGATGAGCTACAACGTGGGGGAAAAAATTGTATCGAGATGAAATTCAATTTTATTACAACACACTACATGCTCGAGTCCTCAGTCAAGACCGCTAAAGTCAGTAGGAAATGTGTTTGGGGGAAGCCATCAGAATTTGCCCTAGATTGTGTTCGATAGCAAAAAATGAAGAAATGAAACCAAGCAGGCAGGAAGGAACCTGGTGATTCATATGTGTATTTAAACTCATGTCATACAGCTGTCAGTACGGTATATACAGTCCCGGTATGCTGAACTCTCTAAGACTTACAAAGGGGAGACAGCAATGTGGGAATGCTATAGTGGTCATATCGACAGTCCACCTAGTTTGGCATTTGGTATTCAACAGCAACCAGAAGCTATTTGAAGCATATTGGAATCTCAATACTAAATATAGGAATAAGATGCATATGGAGATGTTTTCTGTCTTACTCTAAAAATGAATGGATGTTTATATCCTGGATTAGCAAGGATTGGCCACTCCATAAATTGTTATCTGACCTCAAAGATATTGCTATTAGTAAAATAATTAATCCTTTTGTTTTGCAATCCTTTAACTTCAATATCTTATGCCAATGAGTTCCATGGAATATAAAAGATATGGGGAAAAGTTTTTACTTGCTAGCCTTCTTTATAATCTCCTGCCATTTTTACATGTTGTAAAAAGAATATGGACAAATAATTGACTGTAATTACAAAATAATTTTGTTGTCCTTCAGTGTTGCTCCTTTTGCCTCTTTTGAAAACTGCCACTTTTTAAAATATCATTGCTCACACATCTTACTACACCTCTGTTTATTTTTGTGACATCTTTCAGAAATGACTATTCCTGATCTTTTTAGAAGATAGACATGGGGAGATCAGAGCTGAAAATGTTGTGCAATATGCATGGTTCTCATCAAATTATATACTGAGAGAGCTGCTATTAACACAGGTTTTAAATACCAGTTGCAATCCAAACTGTTGATTATGGCTGGACAGGAAGCAGAAAATATCAGTGTTGTAAGAAATTACGTGCAACTGGTTTTTGCCAGATTGACGTTTCCCATAAAATATAACAAGATGTCTGTTGAGCTCAGATTACTCTTTTTACTATACATTGCTCCAAACTTGTCAACATGGAATTTCATCTTCTTCATAGAAGCTGGTTGATTAAAGCTTTCCTTCCTAAATTGTTCTTAGGCATTTCCAATTTGAGCTACTCTAAATCAGGTTATTTCAACAGCATATTTTGCCACCTTTCAGCTTCTTAACTATATTTTTATAAGTACCTAATTACTATAATAAAGACAAAGGTCTTTACAGTCAAAGGCTTTCAGGCACCTTCTTACTAAGAGGAGGAACACCTTATGGCCTGAGATACTGGACTAGGGTTTACAAAAATGGTCTTTTTTTTTTTTTTCCCCCACACTCTTTTTCTTTAATGATAAAACGCATCTCTATGTTTCAGATCCCTGAAGGTAAAACAGGCTTGCTTCTTCCCAGCCTCACAGGAATGTTAGAAAAATAATTTGATCAATATATGCAAAAAGACCTGGATCTAGCAACATAAGTGTAACAAAAAATATAAGGCTAAGTAGTACATATCGAAGGTATATATTTATCTTTTTTAAATTTTCATTTTAAATCAATTGCTAAACTATGAAAGAACTTAAATGTTTACCATACATCTGCTTAAATTTTGGACTTAAGTGGGAAGACTGGACAAGCATAAATTTTCTTTAAAGGGCCTGTTTGACTCCATGGTTTATAATCACTTTACTTCTGACTTCTGTCAGGTTACCTAGCACTAAAGTGGAATTCAGAGATCCCAGTCATTTTGCTGTGATTTTTTTTTCCTAAACAATAAACACAACATTTACTATCCATCATTTCCCTGGAAGGTTTTTATGAAATATATTTCTTTTAGTAACTCAGCACTAGATTTGGAGAGACAGACTGTTTTCTAAAAGGGCCTTGTGGGGAGTTCTAAAGCAGCTAATTTAACTTGAATCAGCTATACACCTTTAGAAATCTCTCTTGATACTACCTGCATCCTTAGGAAAATAAATATTTCTATAATTCCTGGCTCAATCATTTGTAGTTAATAATTCTATCCAACCAAGCATGCATAGAACAAGCGTGAGTGTTGTATTCTGCATGTATTCACAACTCATGAATGAATTTTCTTAGTTCCAATGACTTACCATTCTGTACCTGATTCATCTTTTCTGCGACTAAGCTCTGACAGTATCTAATCTCTATTACTTTCCACAGATTCATTTTTACAACAATCCTTTCAACATCTGTTGTGCTAAGACTGATGAAAAGAAACAGCATAACTTGCTTGTAATACACCTCTAGCCTTTTTCACATCACCTCCATACCTGCAACTGTCTACTCTTTAAAAACCATGTCTTACAGCTGTTTGGTGTTAATGTTTATTCTTTTCTGCTATTGTTTTGTTTTGCTTTGTTTTTCATTTATTTTCATTTCTTATGAAGAATTGGATGGAAAATAATTTTTACACTCACTATATGGATATTTTCTGTATGACTGTCTTTACTGTACTTTGCCTAGCTATGCTTGTCATCCCTGATTCAGTTATGATAAGTTTAAAATATCTATAGGAAAGTCAAAAGCATTTTCATTTCCTGTGTTCATTTTTTTTATTCATTTCAAAATATTCTTTCTTCTGTCATGTTACAGCATTTTAGGTTCTATTTGTTTTCTGAATATCCTGAAATAAATTATACTGTGTTTATTACTAAGTGACTCATGCATACTTACCACCTGAACTAATTTATGAGTGATGTCAGGACATAAATGAAGTATTTTCCAGTATTTCTTGGTATGCTCTACAAAATTTTTAAATTTTTTACGAAAAAAAAGAAAAATATCTTTGCTAAATCTTGTGTCTTGAAAAGATTTATCATGATCATATAGGCTTTACCTACTCTTCACATATAATAAAATAAAACACTTTTTTTTTTATACAGTTGATGATAGTATATAAAGATTCTTCTACTGGTCACCTTCTATAATGTAGACACATTCTCTGTCAGGAGGATACTTGTTGGGGTAATTGGGAGAAGTGAAGATGCCTCCTTCTGCATATTTTGTCCAAGTTCCACACTGCACTGGTTTCTGTCCTTCGGAAGTAGTTTGCTTTTCTGTGAAATGATCACATTAAGCATTATATAATTAGCTCACAAATTATTATGTCCCTATGACACTTAGAACTCTTACAGAATAAAACAGCACCTTCTGTCAGTGGCCTCAGCTTTTTTCTGCTGAGACTAAGAGTATGATCATGGACCTGGGGGAAAACAAGGCTGTTCTTTAGGGGTACAAACATGTAATTCTTACTCAAATCATTTTTTCAAAGCAGAGAAGAGGCTTGGATGTCTAGGGGAAGACATATTTATATAGCTTTTTAAATAATAACCTTGTAGGAAAAGCACATGCTCAAGAAATGGGCGACATGAGTTTCCCACTTGTGTACCTCAAAAGGCTCAAGCATGCGCTGTTATCAGCAAGCTATGTGCTGTAATACAGAAAGACATCAGAGCTGCAAAATCAAGAAAAAAACCCACAGAATTATGATAGAATATACACATGGTTTGAAATTCACAGCAGCTTGACTCTATATTCACCGGACAGAGATAAACGGGGGAATTCCTGGATTCTGGTTTGTAGATTATTTTTATCTTGCTGTTTGCTGTAAAACTAATAAATAGCTCTGGGACCAGGAATCACAGCCCAGAGCTCTCCTCCTCCTAGGTGAATCATCGGAGAGCAGAGTCAGACCTTCTTCTTGGTTTTCTTCCTAGCCTGAAACTCTTGCACTCCTTTCTGCACGTTGGCAGAGAGCCTGGAGACAGAGGTTTGAGTCTGTTCAGGCTGAAGAAGGTGAAGGATCACTTCCTGGGCATCGTGCTTTAACAAGTAGGCTAAAATAAGATGGGTTCTTCGTAGGGAAAAATACCTAGGCTGGTATTAAAATGATGGACAGTAGGTCCTAGACCTCACGCAGGTGTCCAAAGAGGACTCCCGAGTTTTGCTCTGAATGGGGTGTCCCATCTAACTTCAGCCTCTGATGTGTAGAGCCGAGTTGTTTGAGGCTCCCTCTTACGATCCATGGAGGGAGACAGGCACCTTCCAAGGATGATTTTAACCACCTGAGATCCGCCTTATGCTCTGCAAGGGTTTCTCTTTCTTCCTGGTCTGAGTAGGACACGGATCCTAACTTCCTGAAGTGAATTCAGGCCCGCAGGGACTGAGCATTCAGACCCAAAGGAGTTCAGACACACACTGTGCTCAGCAGCTCGCCCTGCTCGGCTCTCACCGCACTTAGCACCCAGGGCATTTAAGACCCTCTTTGTATCCCCACCCTGCACAAATGCACCCATGATACCCAATTTCAGATTTCGAATTCTACTTCAACAAGCAACTTCTAATTTAACAAGCAAAAAGATCTTAAGTGTTGATAGCTCAGTGCCCAAACTGGACTTCCCAGTCTGAAAGTGGGGACTCTTCACAGTCTTCGGTTAGAGTCAGGCTGAGTCTTCAGTTACATCTAGCTGCGGATCAGGTCACTAACTTGCTAAAAAAACCCACCACTGCATTTTTGTGTGTGTACAGGCACACTAATACCCAGAACAAATGAACAAAGGACAGACACCGGAAGTAGGCGAACTACTAAAAATTTCAAGAACTAAACTAACAACTCAAATCCATACTTGGGACTCTAATATAATGTCTGAAAAAAATGTCTGACATTTACATACCTGTTCCTTTTTTGGTTGCCCCAGACAAATGTAGGATGATTAGACTTGCTACAACTGAAAGAGAAATATGCATTAGATATCACAGCGTGATAGTGCCTGCGATCAAATCAATTGTAAACATCTATCTTAGAAGAATACAAATTAAATAGAATTACTGTGAGAAAAATGTTTCATGTTTACTTGCATCTTTAAATTTTACATTTTGTATAAACAAGTTTCTTTGTGATCTGTCCTTGTAGGTGTTTATCTTCATAAATGTATCCAAATAAAGAGGAGATCTTTTGGGTTTAAAACAAAATCCCCAGGCACTGATGTTTCCCTCCTATTTCTTTTCTTTTTTTAATACTAGAGAAAAACATGTTACCAATATTTATTTATATAATTGTAGCTTGGGCCAGTGATAGAAAAGTGGCTGCTTTTAACAGAGAGAGACAAAGGCCTGCTAAGTTTCAGTGCCACTGGACTCACTAATGTCTCTCGCTATGGCATAACAAAATTTGAAAATGAGGACTGGGAGTATGAAAGAAGTGAGGGGCTGGGTTCTTCACATCTATCAAAGCATTTGCAAATCCCCAGTGAAGTAAATTATTGTGTGTGCTTAACAGTCTCATTGATCTAGTTTGTTTGACTTGTCGAGAGGGTGTTGCTTTGTGCTGCAGTGAATCTGCAGCCCATTTTACAAATAGAAATCTCCTATTCCCACCATGATAGGACAGCTATGCCTCTGGGGAACAAATGTGACCTTTCTGAGATGGACTTCAACCTGGAGATAACTCCTGAGTTCCTGGGAGTTTCCGAATATAAGATTTTAACTAGAAAAGGCTAAGGGGCAAACACTTAGGCCAGTCATAATGAGAGTCCTTTGGAAGATCAAAGTGACTAGCTAGCTACCTGATGAAGAAATCATGCACTGATGATAGCATTTTCTTGTCATCACCCATATCTTCTTTGGCTATTGGAGAAAGTGGGATAGAAAAAGCATAAGAGAACAGATCCGTCAGTTCTTGGAGCGCTCGGGGTTTTGACCCCAGCTGGTTTGGCGTTAAACACGGAAATAATGCCCAGACTGCACTCAAGTGGGGATGTGTTGTGTGTTTATTCTGAGCATTTTGGATTGATCAGCTGCCATTCGTATTGTTGACTATGATGAGGAACTGATGGACCTGTGGTCTTTAACAAACGTAATTGAATGGCATACTTTCCTCTTCTTATCCCCAAGAGACACCAGAAGTCATCATGGGCTAGTAACTAGCTACGTAAATGATCCTTTCAAAGATGGTGCTCTCATCATTTTCAGCTTTTATACTGCAAATTGTGTGCAATTTTTACCCTGAAGGAAGCCAATCTCCATATTTCCAGTATTCTGATGGCACTGAGATCTCAATTTCTATGCCTTTGACCCTTCCGGTGTGACAGAGGGTTTGAGGCATGGATGATGGCTACCTTATTAAGCAGGGAAAGGCTGAAGTTCTGGGAGAATGAAGGCTTGGCAGCATATTCGTTATTTCTTGGTCAGGCTCACAGCCCCTGTGTCTTTTTGAATCCCTCAGCTAACAGAGACGGATGTTGGCAGAGCCGGTAGTTTAAAACTCTTCTGTGTCATGGGCATTCAGTGAGAACATTACATCTTCTGCTTGGATCTGAATACTACCCAACCATTCATGCCCTTACTCTCCTCGGGGATGGATTCTGGCAATACATGCTAGCTGGGACCCTGCCCGCCAGCGGTGTCAGAATCTAAAGGCAATGCAGGATTCGCTCATTTACCAAGTTGCTCATTTACGTTAGCTGGGTTTCATGCAGTGAACATACTGCATCTATGCCTGTAATCCTCACCAGTCAAAACCTAATTTCTCAATAGTGTAAGGTGGATTGGTGTTAGAATATGGAGCCAGCTGCCGGCGTTCTTTCTGCCCACAGATTTATGGAAGCTAGAATAGGACGCACAACAGCCAAACAAACCCCATGTGAGAAATGTTTCTTCTTAGGCAATTAATAACTATTCATGCCTGATTCTTACAGGTTCATTTCAAGCGCCTTTACCTATTAGCTCTCCCCTCCTTTTCTATGTAGAAAAAAATTGAAGTTCAGAGAAGTACAGAGAGTTGGTTCAAGTCACAGAGATATTATTACCAAGATGACAGAAAAAACACAGATCTTTTCAATTCCAGCTGTAACCGCTAGAAAGGATGCTTCCAAGTCGCAGAGCTATGTTATTCCAAAGCAGGGAGCTATACTTACATATCATCGTGTCAGTATTGATTATTAATAAGGAATCAAAATAATCTTGATCATAAAACATAATAGACAAGAAGAGACTAAAAGGCTAAGTTTTTTCTGGAGGTATCACATCTAACATTTGGATAGCTGAAGTGAAATACTCCTCCCGTATTTCGAAAAAAGAGAAAGCTTCTTCATTCGGTGGCATTAACACCAGCATCACCAAAATCTGTATATAGCTAGAAAGTAATTAAAATTGTGGGCTTTATGGGAAAAGATAATACAATATTTTTTACTTAAGCAGTCAAGGTGGTCCATTTTATTCTATGACCCCTTGCCTTTTTCTTTCTCAAGCCATAGGAAAAGAACAGTGCCTCTCACAGAGGAAAAAAGAACCAAAAAAAAGACCCCAAAGAGACCACTCATGCAATCTTCACTTGTCAAAAACTGTCGCTTGGGAAGCTTTGACAGTACGGCAACAGTAGTGTGATTATCTGGGTTTGGGAATTATTTTAGAGAAGTTTCCACCCAATTTCTTGTTGCATTCTCTCTGCCTTCCTCCTCCCCCTTTCCCTCCTAATCACGGGTGTAATTATAATCATGCTTTCTAGTGCCGCTCTGATTACGCATCTTTGCATCTTTTGGGATCTGTGCATTTTTCCATTGCAAGCTGTACATTAAGAGATTTATCCCTCGGCCAGGCAGCTTTTTGGAGGCTGCGATTTGGCATAGACATGGCTTAGCCCGAGCGGAGAGTTGTCGGACAAGCAATACCTGGCCATAGCGCTCCTATTTTACAGGTGCGGGCGCAGAGACAGGTGCTGGGAGGAACTGTGGCCACGCAAACCCCTTCAGGAGAGTGGACCCTCTGCAAAACTGAGGCGGGAGAGGGGGGGGCCTGACGCCCCCCGGGGGGTCTCCGACTAACAATTGTTACGTCCCCGTGCCTCCCCGCTGCTCTCCCGGAGGATTTCGCCCGAGGGGGCCGCCCCCGCCCCGCAGCCCTCCGGGATCCGCGCCGGCTCCGGCCGCCCCC